ACTGACCAGTGGCTGACTACAGGAAGCCTGAGGCAGAGTTGCTCTGCCCCGGGCTTCCTGGAATCAGCCGCTGATCAGTTTCAGCAGCAGCTGACTTGGGGACGCCTGGGTTTCTTAAGTTGAATCTGTATGCAAGTCAGAACTGGCGTCCAGATTCAGCCGCGGTTGAAACTGATCAGTTTCAGCAGTGGCTGACACCAGTTCCGACTTACATACAGATTCAACTTAAGAACAAACCTACAGTCCCTATCTTGTACGTAACCCGGGGACTGCCTGTAGTTTACTTTCAGAAAGCTGTAGAGGAGATCCCTCACCAAAGTCTCTCAAGCAAACTAAGCAATCATGGGACAAAAGGAATATAAGACAGAAAAAATAAAGGACTGGTTTTCAGAATGGAGAGAGGTAAATAGTACTGTCCCAAAACATCTGTACTGGAACCAGTGCTGTTCAACATACTCATACATGACCAGGAAGTAGCAAAGTTTGCACAGCATATTACAAAATAACTTAAAATAGCTAAGTACAAAGCAGACTGAAGAGCTACAAAGGAATCTCAGCAGCTCCCTTGGAGCTGCCTGCCCCCTCTCCCACTACCTCTGATAAAGAGGTGGGTGGGAAGAGAGGAAGGAGATAGTATGCACAGGGAGCAGTGTGATGGGGCAGCAGGAGCCAGCTCCCCACGAGCACTGGTTCTTGCGAAGCTGCCTTCCCTCTCACTCTGCTGCCTCAGAAGCAGCCAGCACAGGAGGAAGGTAGAAAGGGTGGGGAAGAAGAAATTGGAGCTGGTGCTCCATATTCTATTATGAAATATAGCGTGAGAAATTTCAGCAGTTACACATTTACACAAATAAATGCATTTTAACATCCCTAGCCCATTTCTTAAACCCTTCATGCAGTTCCAGTCACCCCAAAAAGATGAGAAAAATGGAAAAGGTACACAATAAAGAAACAAAAATGTTTAGGAATATGGAACAGTTTCTATGTAAGGAAAGATTAAAAACACAGACTATTCAGCGTGGAAAAGGTCTATAAAATCAATGATGGTGTGGAAAAACTGAAAAAAGTATTATTTATCCCTTTCACATAACATAGAAACCAAATGAAATTTAAAAAAAAAAAAAAGACAGCAGCTTTAAAGCAAACAAAAAAAAGTACTTCTTCGCACAACACATAGGTCAGTCTGAGGAACTCATTGCAAGGGGATGTTATGAAGACCAAAAGTACCTGAAGAATTAGACAAATTCATGGATGACAGCGCCATCAAAGGGTATTAGCCATCAAAGATGGTCAGAGACACAATCCTGTGCCCTGGGTGTCCCTAAGTGTCTGACTGCCAGATGGTGGGACTGGACAAAGAGGGATGGACCACTTGATAATTTCCTCCTTCTCTTTGTTCCCTCTGAAGCACTTGATATTGGCCACTGTTGGAAGACAGAATACTGGCTCGATGAACCATTGATCTGGCTCAATACAGTCTACCATATTCTCTTACGAAATAAACAGCCCCATATTGGCCCTAAAGTGATAGATGTGATCTATTAGGTCTTTTCCCTCCTTAGGAAGGCCTTCATGAAAAGCTGACCTGTTTGTCATTTACCCATAGATCCATGGCATCCAACATTCTAGCCACATGTGGCTATTTGACCAGGTGACTGCGGCTAGTTCGCTACAGCAGTAGCCACTATAGCAGCTATTGCTTCAGAACTGGTTGGACACCACAGCCATAGATCAATGTAATTGTCTCAGATATTTTTCTCTTAGCTCCTCACAAGCTCAAACAGACATTTTACCTTCCCGTTTTTTCCCCCTCTCACTAGTTTATTTGGGGTTTTCCCTTTGAGTGATATTCAGTGAATCTTCCTAAGCTGCCAGAATAGATAAAACTTTTTTAGAAATTTTTTTAAAAATAAACCTGTTTAAAATGTATGATAATTTATGTTACAGTCTAAACATGCCATTCACATTATTTAAATAAAACAAATATGGTGAAACAAGTTTCCAACCTTTATGAGTTAACGTATGCTTTTTATATTCAGCATGAGGGAGTAAACACTTAACTTCTGACACCAACTCTTATAAATAGCACAATGTGTCATATTACAAAAACAATGAAGCAATTTCCAGTCTTTGTAATGGAGTGAATGACAGTATTTACTCCCCTACCTAGATATCAGTAGTCAGCCATAAAGAAAAAACGTGTGTTTATTTTTTTATCAGATCACACAATGCTTGAGTCTGTTAATCAAAGTAATTAGAAACTACATTCTGAAAAATGCTAATGTGGATTTAAACAATTATGTAGAAAGAATCAAGTAATTTTACTCCAATAAAATCTTGGTTTTGAAATCCAATTTCAATCCAAATGCAGCTTTGAAACAGTCTCAATCAAAAATTGGGTATCTAGTAAACAAGTGTGATATAGTGGGGATGCTATCTACTTCTGTAATCCTGTTGTCACTTTGGTGTTGCATTCACCATTTATCTTGTGGGGTTATAGGAGATCCTACTGTCCTATGCTGCTCTGTAGTGACACTGTGTGTGTGCCACAGTTTCCCCAGGCCCTGCAGCACTAGCTGCATGAGGAGGGGGAGGCTGGGTGTGACTCACTGGGGAAGTATGTTCAGTCTCTCACTCCTAAGGCCCAGGTGACAGCAGTAACATCTTGGGCCAGGAAGGAGGACAATGGAGAAGGCAGGGTTGCCTGGGGCTGGTGAGCAGAGGCTGGGAGTGTGGGTCAGTGTGGGCTAGGAGAGTGCAGAGGCTGAGAGCGGGAAAAGGGATGAGGGGCCCAGGAGCCCTTTCCCCCGCAAGAGAAATAATGCTGCCTGCCCTGGTTCCTGGCTAACATCGATCTTAAGCTACACTGCATCTCTGTGAACCAATAAACCTTCTGACTCTACTGGCTGGGTGAGAGTCACACCTGGCTGTAGATGGGGGTGCAGGGTCGGGGACCCCCCAATGCGCAATCACAACAAGAAAACACATCATTAACATTTTCTACTAGAATACTTAATTTCTGCATTTTGTATATGAATAAACATATATTGTACTATATAATTAATTTTAATAGACTTTTTCAGTATGGTGCAGTCTCTTGGTTAGCAAAAAGAATGATCAAAAGTAGTGTAACAGCTATATCTAGTTGTAAATAATATTTTAAATGTGTCTTAATGGATGTATGAACCAACGAGAATTTCTCTCAAAAAAAATCTTGAAAGCATACATCAAAAGTTAGATTATAAAACATGTATTTCTACTCTCTGGTTTAAATCATTGCTTTCAAATAAGTGACTTAATTCAGCCTGCATGCCTGCTGACCTTAAAGACACAGAACAGGAGTTCTTTCTAATGTACGGTGGAGAGCCACAAGGACTAGAAAGATCACTTGTTTATCCCAACTTTCTCTTGGTTACCTTTGTCCCAAAGTGCCAGGTTGGGAGAACAAAAACTGCAGTATTGTGGGTGCTTTTGCTTCTCTGTTCCATAAAAATGCTAGCTTAGGAACAGCCATGACATTTTACCAGTGACAGCCAAACCTTCATGGTCAAAGAATAATTTGACAGGAACACATGTATCTTATAGGGATGTTAGATATTGGTTATTTTAGTAATCTTATAGCTGCAACAATTTGTAATGATTACACGACTACCAAAATACTCCCGGGCGGGGGGACGGGGACGACATGGCTAGCAGGCCCCTGTATCTGTGGGAGGTGGTATGAGGAAGCAGGCTGCCCCACATACTGCTGCCTCTCTGTATCTAACTGGGGAGACAGGAAGGCAGGCAGCAGCTCTGGGGAACCAGCATGCACAGGGGGTCTATTTAGCGTCCACACACACCACCTTGCTGCATCTGATACAGTGTCTGCAGTCTCTTGGATTAACCAATAAGACTAGACTTACCGGTTATCATTTAAATGTCTGTATGTTAGCATCCCCAATATCTTACCTACACCTCATCCCTGCACCACCAGCAGGGCAGCTGCATGGGCGATCGTGCATTAGCACCGGGTTCCCTCCCTCCCTCAGGGCTGGGGCAACCACCCGCAGGAGAGGACAAGCAGCTCACCGCTCCCTACCCAGAGCCCTGGCACGAGCTGTCCCTGAGCGGCAGCGAGCTGCCTGCCCAGTCCGGCGCGCTAACGGGATCGGAGACCAGCGGCTGCCCTACAGCGGGACTCGTCACTGGAGGCTAAATCCAGAGGCCGCGTCACAGAACAGACCCCGCCGCCGACACGCGAACGGGCGGGATCCCCAGCCTGGAGGCGGCCACGAGCACAGCCCGACCTTGCGGCGCCTGGAGGGGACCCGGAGACCGCGCCAACGGGCCCCTCCGCGGCGTCTGCCCCCAGCGCGGCCGGTACCTGCTGGTCTCCAGGGACGAGTATCTCTCGGGCAGGATCTGCAGGCAGCGCTGGAAGAAGCGCACGTGCCGCTCCTTCAGGAAATCCAACCGCTCCTCCTCCCCGCAGCCCGGATCCTCCGCCGCCATCTTTGCCGCCCTCCCTACCCAACCCCGGCGCGCTCAGTGACCACTTCCGCCGCGGCCGGAGGGGCTCGCTCACGTGATCTGGGCGCGCACGTCCTCCAAGACGAGAGACGCTTCCTTGTCACGTGCCTCGGGGCTGCAGCACTTCCTGCGTGGAACCGAGCATGCTCAGTAAGAGCTGCTGCCTTCACTCTCCCCGCACCTTCTCTTACGTGGCGTCAGGCGCTGCTCCCAGCTCTTTACAATCGCTTAAAAGCGGCGCAGGGGCGCGGGTCGCAGTGGCCGGTTCTGTTAACGGCCTGGTGGGGCCCAGCGCGGACTGGAAGGGCGAATCGGGCGGGGGCGGTGATTGGAGCTGGGGGGAAGCCGGTGCCAGCAACTGTACTCAGGGTCCCCCCCCCCCCCAGGTGCCAAGGGTGCAGATCTGGGGGCAGGGCGGAGAGGGGGTTTTATTGCCCTTCTCACACAGACGCGTGCCCAAGCACAGGGCCGCTTCCCGGCTGCTCTAGCAGGTACAGCTGCTCGAATTGCCCTGCCAGCCCCGCAGCTTTTCTCTGCAGTGGGGCAAAATGCTGCAAGTACTTCAGGGCGCATGTAACATATTTTGAAGATTTAAAAGTCTCTATGCAGGTAATGCTGTACATAAAGTCTCATAATAGCTACAAATACACCCAGGCTGCGTCTAGACTGGCACGTTTTTCTGCAAAAGCATTTGCTTTCGTGCAAAAACTTGCCAGCTGTCTACGCTAGGTGCTTGATTTTGTGCAAAAGCACTGCCATTCTACTGTCTGAAATCAGTGCTTCTTGCGCAAATGCTTTGACGATCCTGTTCGGGCAAAAGCCCTTTCCCGGAAATGTTTTTGCGCAAGAGGGCCAGTGTAGACAGCTAAAAACAGTTTTGCGCAAAAAAGCCCCGATGGCGAAAATGGCAATCGGGGCTTTCTTGCGCAAAACCACGTCTTGATTGGCACAGACGCTTTTCCGCAAAAAGTGCTTTTGCGGAAAAGCGTCTGTACCAATCTAGACGCTCTTTTCCGCAAATGCTTTTAACGGAAAGACTTTTCCGTTAAAAGCATTTGCGGAAAATCATGCCAGTCAAGACTTAGCCCCTTATGCATGGGTTCCATTGTTTGAGAACAAACAACTGTTCTTAACTCATTTTGGGGTGCTGAGTTCAAAGATTATATCCATTTTTGCCCATGATGTACAGATTTTCTGAAAACTGGAGTCTACTTTTTCAAAAAATGCTATTATAATGCTTTATACATTATATGCAGTGACTTATTTTCAAGAACTTGAATGCAAAAATACCTCGAACTGATTGAATTTGTCAAAATGAATGCCATCTAGTTTAATTTAATGTGCCGATGCTGACAATGCTGGAGGCAATACTGAGTATCCACCAGAACATGTCAGTAATGAGCCACAACTTTTCACCCAAAGTGAATTTAATGACTTGGTGAGAGACCTGGATCTGCCTAAAGATTCTGCTGAGCTTTTGGGATACAGACTTCAACCGAAGAATTTGCTTTCCTCTGGAACAAATTTTGCTTGGTACGGAACCGCGAGAAAGAGTTTGTTCCATATTTTTCTATGGATGGTCTGTTTGGTATACTGCAATAATATTGCCTGATTAATAGAAAGCTTGGGGACAGCTTACTAACCAGGTGACTGAAGACTTTATTGACTCTTCAAAAACAAGCCTAAAAGGTGTTCTACTGCATAATGGCAATCAATATGCCTCTGTGCCTATTGCCCATTCTGTCCACTTTAGAGAAACCTATGGAAATCCTGACCTTCTCCTTGGAAAAAGGTGCATTGTCCAGAGCATGAATGGACTGTATGTGGAGATCTGAAGGTGCTGTGTATGCTGCTTGGTCAGCAGGCTGGTTACACAAAAATGCCATGCTTTTTATGCAAATGGCATAGCAGAGCAAGAGATCTTCATTGGGTAAGGAAACAGTGGCCACCAAGGGAGAGTCTGACTCCCGGGTCCAAGAATATAATTCATGAAAAACTGATTGAACTCAACAAGGTACTGCTACCTCCACTCCACATCAAGCTAGGTTTGATGAAACAATTTGTGAAAGCATTACCCAAGAACGGTGACTGTTTCAAGTACATTTGCAACAAGTTCCCAGCTTTGAGTTACCAAAAAGTTAAGGAGGGTATCTTTGTGGGTTCTCAGATCAGGAAACTGATTCTTGACACTAACTCTGAAGAAGCCATGAATGACACAGAGAAAGACGCTTGGGTGGCCTTCAGAAATGTCTTACAAAACTTAAGGAATAACAAAGATCCTGATTAAAAAAACATTGTTGGCAACATGCTAAACATATATGAAAGACTTGGATGCAACATGAGCTTGAAAGTTCATGTTTTGCTTTCCCATCTGGATTATTTTCCTGAAAATCTTGGAAGTGTCAGTGAAGAGCAAGGGGAAAGATGTCATCAGGATATCAAGATGGTGGAAAAGAGAAATCAAGGACGTTGGGATGTCAACATGATGGCTGATTACTGCTGGTCTGTGCAAAGAGAGACTGATGGTGAAATGAATAAAAAGTTGTCAAAAAAGCATAGATTCAGTCACATCTAATCATTTAAAATTACTCAGTTGTTAAATTCACACTTTGCTCCTTTGTTCTTTAAACATGGGCTTACCACAGACCTTCTAAAAGAACTATAACTTACTATTTACCAAGTTTTTAATGCATACGGTGAAATAAAAAGTATGAAAAATGTCCAATTTCTTTTTAATTTGTGAAAAATCCTTACATTATAGAGCAAAATGGATGTCATTTTAAAAATCAGCATAGCAAAATTATGTAAAGTCACTAATTTTTATCAAAACAATTTAAACTTTGTTTCAATTTGCAGACCTGTGATATTTGTCTTCTCTTGCAGTGATTTCCTGAATTGCGTTCCACTCCTTCTAACCCATTTTAATGCTCCTTTATAAATGTTAATTCTATTACCCTTATTAGGGGGCTGTGCCCTCTCCTCTTTCCCAGAACATTCACCTCCTTCACATTCACCATTAGCTCCTCACTCATCCCCCAACCCTCCCACAAAATCTATAAGCCCCATGCTCTAAGAAGTATTAATCTGGCTCTCATGGGAAGCCCTGAAGCTTGGCCCCCTTCCACTTGCGTAGCATGAATGAAGTGAAATGAGCATCCCCCTCTTTCTTTTTTTCTTGCTTCTGAAGAGGGGGCCAAATCTCTTGGGGGAGGAGGGGTTCTCCTCCTCTAGGGGCAGGTGTTATTGAGAGATTTTTTGTTTTTTTGCTTCTTACCTCCAGACAAGGGTTGTCAAATTAAGAAAAGACCCCCAGCCTCATATGCATTGAAGATAGGACAGACAGACATCTCCATTAGTATACAAAATGGAGAACAGCATGTCCAAAGCATGAACCACACTGAACTATGGGATACCAAAAGCAGGAAAGCACTGCCTTGTGGGAAATCTCTGCTCCAGATTAAGGAACTCACGTCTGCAGACACCCAGATCAGTAATTATCAGATCCATTGTAGTAATAGATACTCTATTGATAGAAATGTAGCCGTGTTAGTCTGGTGTAGCTGAAACAAAATACGTACAGGACTATGTAGCACTTTAAAGACTAACAAGATGGTTTATTAGGTGATGCGCTTTCGTGGGCCAGACCCACTTCCTCAGATCAAATAGTGGGAGAAAACTGTCACAACCATATATACCAAAGGATACTCCAAAGCATCCCATGAAGTCAAGTCATGCAAATTTAAACAATTTTTCACGGTGAATACACGATAAAATCCCTCCAACACTGTTCTTCAAACTTGGAGGGCGGGGAGTATGGGGCTCAGCATACTGAAAATAAGATTGCCACAACAAAAAGAGAAATGTAGACCAAGTCCCTGAATTAGTCTGAAGAATTGCCAATTGTTGCACATGTAACAGTAGATGATGCATTTGATTTGATTACAAGGCATCTGCTACATCTATGCATGGACACTAGTATCAGAGGTTAGCCAATAATCATTTCTCGCTCTCCACTGAAATACACCAAATGAGAAGTTGGGCTGAAAGCGGCACACAGGAAGCCCGGAAAAAAATATTTAGGGTGTTCTTCTCTCTAGTCTTTAGGGAGGGTACTTGTTTCATTCTTCTGTCTTGCAGTCTGTGGTGGCATTATATTCTGCTCTGTCAAAGAAAGGCACTTTTCGTCTCTCAAACACTGATGTTGAGCTATTTCTAAATTGTTTTTCTGCTGTTGACCAGCTGCTGTCTTCACTGCTGCTCATTAAAGGAATCCTGCCAGTTTTAACCCCCTTTCTTCCTGTCCAACTATGCCATATCATCTCTTCTAATTTAGAGATATAGGTTCCAACCTCCATCCTTCTGTGAGAAATATAATGGAGCCCACTGATTTCAGTGGCACTGTACAGTAATTGTAACTGAATTTTGCCCTTATCTTAGTACAGAATGTTAATATAACACCATCATATGTACCTTTAGTGACTCACTGTTCCCATGTGCCCTCGAGCATATGTTGGAATTGTTTTTAAATGTTTTTATGCAATATGGAATATAATACACCCTAACAAGAACAACATATCAAATCTTCTTACGATGCAATATCTTGGGCATGGCTGACTTAAAGCTCCTTCCAAATTAATGGCCAGGATTCTAAAAGGAAGCTTATAAAAAGTACAACATATGATTTGCCATGGAAAATGGAAAGTCAAAAACTGATCATGATGGCACCATTGCAGCAGAAGGGAATGGGAGGCAAGGAAGTGATTTGAGCAATATTTTAAAAACGGAGTCTCTACAGTTATGAATCTAAGGTCATAAATAGGTACCTGAATAGCCTGATTCTTTTTTAAAGAACTGCTGAGCAAT